TTTCTCCACAAGCCAAGAAAAACTTGACCTACTTTCTTGATGGCTCCCTGGGCTAAGGCTCCCTGCTCACGCCCCCCCACCCCAGTCTCCTGTCCAGCCCCCAGTGCCCAGTCCTGGTCTGGGGTGGGCATCAGAGGCAGAACAGACCACTTTTCTGTGCAATGCCCATGCTGTCCACACCACCGGCTTGCCTGGGTGCAGAGGCCCCATCATGCTGCTGGCCCTGCCCAATCTGCTGACTTATCTCCCCGCCTCTCTTCCCACCCTGGCTCCTTATCAGCTCCTGGGGTTGGGGCCAGGGGCCTAGGGGTGAGGTCTCATATGCAGCAGCCACGTGACAGAGGTTGAGGTCATATGTCGGGGAGCTGTACCCTTTGTCCCCCTCCTACCTGCCACACCTGCCTGTGTGCACACAGACAGTAAGCCACAGATCTGCAGCCCAGGGTCAGAGGTGCAATGCTGTGGGACGTGGGAATGGTGGGCCCAGCTTGGCACTGCCCTGGACTCCAGGTAGCAGAACAAGGCTAGCATTAGGGCCAGGCCATGAGGCTTATCCGACAGCCACCTGCTTACTAGCTGTGTGAACTTGAATGAATGATCAAACTTTCTGAGACTCAGTTTCCTCATCTGTGAAGTTCTCCTGCCCACTCTGGAGGGCACAGACTATCTCTGCAGTTAACATGTGTTAGTTTCCTTTCCTTTCTCCCTTGCCATCCTGGTTGATAGCAGCTCAGCTAAACCAACTAAGTCTGGTCCTCGGCCTGGGAAGTGGGATTCAAGAGCTTGTGTGGGAAGCTCTGGAGTCCCTGAGGGGCCAGAGCTGGGGATCAGAACTTGGCCGGCAGCATGGGAGGTCGGTTCCCCAGAGTTTTCAACATTTCTCTCTATTAAGGCACAAAGATGGGCATTCACGCTCACTGCGTGCCGCTCTATGTCCCACCCCGCCTGTGCGGAAAACTGCTTGCCTCTGGTCCCCTCTTACCCCTATAATACAGAGGAATTTCAGGAAAACTTGTCTAGAGGGGTGGTAACAATAGCTAGTGTTTAATAGATGCTCATTAAGGGCCAGGCATTTGTCTGAATATGAAGACTGAGACATATTACCTAGTACGTGAGTGATCTCATTCTCTCCCTCCATTCCTTCCTATGTCTGGGGCTTAGGAGGAGGATCTCCGATCTCGCCTGCTGTACCTGTGATCTAAGGGATTATCCTGGTCCCCTCTCTACGCCTGCCCTTCCTGCCCCCTGCTATCTTGTTATGGGTCCTCAAAGCCCCAAATGTTACCACCAGAGGGATCCTACCCACCTTCCCACCATGACACCTTCTTACCCCTGCCTCTCTCTTCTGCCCACAGGGATCTCTGGACAGGACAAGACTCCGAAGCTACTCACTCAGCCCACAGCCCGGGACCCACAGACCCAGCTTGCCCCAGCCCTCCCACCTGCCACTCCCTGGCCCCTCCCACCGCCCGCCCCCCTGGGGGCGCAGGGCATGGTGTGAAAGGCCAAGTGCTGAGGCGGGTATCATGGGTGCTGTGCCCTAGGGCCTGGGTGGCAGGGGGTGGGTGGCCTGTGGGCGTGCCGGGGGGGCCAGTGTGCCCACCCCAGTCTCTTGGCGTGCTGGAGGGCATCCTGGATGGAATTGAAGTGAATGGAACAGAAGCCAAGCAAGGTGGAGTGTGGGTCGGACCCAGAGGAGAACAGGTAATGGGTTCAGCAACTAGGTCATGCCAGCTCCTAAGCAGCAGGCATGGGCACCTGGCTGAGCTGTCCTTTAGGCACCGCCGTTAAGCACCTCTGTGGGATGGACATGAGGCCAGCAAGCCTTCTGCCTACCTCTCTCTGGCAGATGAGGTCAAGTTCAGATGTGACAGGCACTTGGATTGCGAGATGCTCATTTTGAAGTCGGAGTGATACAGAGCAAATTACAGGGAGCACATAAGGGGCCCTTCCCTAGACAGTGCTGGGCGGTCTCAGATGCCCCCAACGTCCCCTCCACCATTGCTGCCCTCACCTTGAGCATGTGGGATCCAAACAGCCTTGCCATTTTCCTCCTCTCCCTGCCAGCCCATTTACTATCTGACCACAAGTGCGTTTTCCACAGGCTGTGGTTCACGTAGTATGACATTTCAGGGCACATGCACCAGTAACTATTGGTCACAGCCCACGCTTATATTTGGAATCTATTGGGAGCCCCACAAGCTCTTCCTTGTTCATGGTCAAGGGCGGGCACTGCGATGGGGCTCCTCCCAGAAAGTGCAAAACCATGACGGTTTTGCTTCCACGTGGGTGAGGTGTCAGCCTTGCACATACACCAAGGGATGGTTACCTATGATCTGCATTGCCCTGGAGGAGCCCAGAGGGTCTCTGCCTTTTCCATCAGCTCCAAGTGGCACAGAGCTTTGTCCCAGTTGGCACGGTGCCCTGGGAGCTGGGTACAGCCTGTGCCTATGGCCAAGGAGAGGGTGGGGGTAGGGGTGCTCCAGGGAGCAGTGTGGCTGACTGTTTCCTAGGAGATCAGATCCCGAGCCAGGAAGCCAGAGGCCTGGCCAGGCAAAGCCCTAAGGCCCACAACTGGGTGCCTGAAGGGTAGAGGAAGTAGATGGAACTCACAGCTCGGCAGGGCATGGGATAGCCCCCCTTCCCCAAAGCCTCACCCCAGGAAGGACTCTGAGGACGATCTGGCCTGTAGCTGTGTGGCTGTCACTGGCAGCCCCTGTGTCTCCCAGCTTAGGCTTCTGTGGGTCTGCAAGAGTCTGCTCCTAAGGCTTGGAGAAAGGCAGGAATGCCAGTTCCTAGTCCCCTAAGACTGCAGCCCCCTCCCCCATTGCCTTCCCCTCCCCCATGTCTATGCGCCACCTTGTGGCTATCTCTAGGACTGCACTCAGAGGCTGTGAGTCTGGTGGTAACTCCTGAAGCTGCCAGCTCAACTGGGACCTAGGTGGCCTGAGTTCCCCTGCACCCAACCTTCTGGAAGGCGTGAGGGAGACCTGACCTTTCAGCCTCGTAGGAAGTAGACGGGAGTAATCCCCAGGGGGCGTGGAGCACAGAACTGTCTGTGACTGTGACCCTGGCCAAGGTCACTGTGTCAGTGTGTTGGGAGCTGCATCCGGCTCCAGGAGGAAGGGGCCTGCAACATGCCACACACAGGGTGGGTGCGGAAGCTTATACAATCCTTGCATGCATGTAGAGGGTTTATGTAACCTGTGTGCACTGAGGTTATGTAACATGTATGTGGAGAGCCTGGCAACATATATGTGCAGTGGCTGAGGGTTGCTAATAATACCTTGCACAGAGGGGCTCAGTCCTGGCTCTGACTCCAGCTCATGGTGTCACCAGGCACAAGTAGGGTCTCAGTTTGCTGCTCTGTTAAATGGAGGCTGTGCAGGGGGTGACTCTAGTGTTTTCCATTGCTGTGGGTTATTTAGCATGTATGTATGACCTGGAGCTCAAGCAACACGTGCACACTGGCGGGATGAGGGTGGTTTTATGAGGTGCCTGTGCAGAGTGTTGTGTAACACCGGGCCATATCCTAGAGGTTGTATAGCACATTTAAGAATGCCCTGAAAATTTCACAGATATGTCAGCCCTGGTGCATACTCACCATCCGTGGGTTTATAGTGAAAGCTGCATGGTTATTCATCTGCGCCGGTGTTATGTTGCATATGTATGTGTGTGTTCTAAAGGTTACATAGCTTTAAGCATATCCTGAGAATTCTTCCAGCGTATTTGTCGTGTACTGAAAGATGAGGATGTCCTGCGGATTGTGGGTGCTTCAGGTCTTCTGGTGGGTGAATGTGTGTGTGTTGGGGCTCTAGAACATGCTTGTGCCACAGCCAAGCCCCTTATCTCTCTCCCCTGCAAATTCCAGATAGCTGGACCCTTTTAAGCATTGTCAGCTGACCCTGGGGGTGGGAGGTAGAATGAGGACACAAAATGGAAAGAATCAGGACTGGGGGGGATTGTATAAGCCTCTCGGATGAGAAAGGGGCCACCCGAAGACTGCTCTGTGATTCTGCCCACTTTGCCCCCATCCAGTGCCAGGTCACCAGATGGAAAGCGAAAAAGAAAGAACGGCCAATGTTCCCTGAAAACCAGCATGTCAGGTGAGGCTGGCTGTGCGTGCCCCTTCTCCACGTCCCCGACCCCACCAGACCCAGCCAGGGCTCCCTCCGGACCTGGACGTGGAACAGTAGTTCCTGTGTTCCCTGGGGGGAGCTTCCTAGAGGGCTTGGGATGGACTTGTCTGGGGCTGAGAAAGGTGATGATGGATGTGCCCAGCTTTTGAGGGTGGATTAGGTCAGGAAGGCCTCTTCCCTCCCCCTAGTACTCTCATCTGAGGCCCCACCAGAATCAGGGCCTGAGCTGAAGGACTGAGGGGCTGTGTTATCCCCAGTGAGCTGCTGAGATTTATTTTTCCCTCTCCACCATCCTCTGCCTTGTAGATAGAGCAAGAAGAAAGCCCTGAGTGGGTAGTCGGAAGAACTGAGATTCTTCATACTCTTAGGGCAGAGGATGGACAGGTTCACCTCCCATCTCTCTAGGATTCTACCAGGGAGGCTGGGCTAGGAGAGGGGCCAGAAACAAAAAGTTGAGGGATGGGGAAAAGTGTGAGAGCCTCTCTGCTGGGACTTCAAGCCATGCCTGCCTTCCTCCATCCTTTCCTTCCTCCCAGGGTATATCCCTAGTTACCTGGACAAAGACGAGCAGTGTGTCGTGTGTGGGGACAAAGCAACTGGTTATCACTACCGCTGTATCACTTGTGAGGGCTGCAAGGTATGGAAGCTACCTCCTGCCCCTCCCCTGCCACCTGAGCCCCCGTCTTACTCCCTGTGTCACCTAAAGCCCCCCTGTTAGGTCATCACTTTTTTTTTTTTTTTTTTCCTGAGACGGAGTCTCATTCTCGTTGCCCAGGCTGGAGTGCAGTGGCGTGATCTCGGCTCACTGCAATCTCCACCTTTGGGTTCAAGCGATTCCCCTACCTTGGCCTCCCGAGCAGCTGGGATTACAGGCATGTACCACCACACCCAGCTAATTTTTTTGTATTTTTAGTAGAGACGGGGTTTCACCAACAGTGTTAGCCAGGCTGGTCTCAAACTCCTGACCTCAGGTGATCCACCCGTCTCGGCCTCCCAAAATGCTGGGATTACAGGAGTGAGCCACCGTGCCTAGCTATTTTCTCTTCTCTTATTCATTCATTTGCTCATTCGTAATTCCTCCTCTGCCACTCACAGGAAAATTGCCTAACTTCTTTGAGCCTTAGTTTCAGTTTCTTCATCTATAAAATGGGGATAATCATTCTCTCTACCTTATGGCATTGTTGGGAGAATGAAATAATTCACCTGAAGTGTTGAAAACAGTGCCACCGGGTGCTGTGTCTCATGCCTAAAATCCCAGCCCTTTGGGAGGGAGGCCAAGGTGGGAGCATCCCTTGATCCCCCGAGTTTGAGACCAGCCTGGCCAACACAGTGAGACCCTGACTCTCCAAAATTAAAGAAGTTAGCTGGGTGTGGTGCCACATGCCTGTGGTCCCAGCTGCTCAGGAGGCTGAGGTGGGAGGATTGCTTGAACCCAGAAAGTTAGGGCTGCATTGAACGGTGGTGGTGCCACTGCACCACTTGCTCTGGTGACAAAGCAAGATTCTGTCTCAAAATAAAATAACAAAATATAAAAAATAAAACAGTGCCACGCCCATAAGAAGCATTTAATAAAAAATGCCAGCCATCGCCCATTCATTCAGTGTATTATTAGGTGTGAGAGTGTAGTACATACCCTGCCCTCAAGCTGCTCACAGCCTGTCAGAGAGAGACACAACTTGAGACAAACATCAGCAAACATCAGTGTTATTCCAAATGTGGTTCGTGGACCATCTGCCCTACTAGTTAAAATGCAGATTCCCAGGCTTCATCTTTTTTTTTTTTTTTTGAGACGGCATCCGGTTCTCTGTCCCGGCCGGCTTGAGTGCAATTGCTGATCTCGGCTGCACTGCAACCTTCCACCTCACCAGGTCAAAACAATTCTCCTGCGCTTAGGGAACGCTGCACTCCCAGGTAGTCTCGGACTAAAGCGTGCCGCCCCACGCTCGCGGCGGGACGCGCTAGTTTTTATATTTTAATGAGAGTGGGTTTACACATTTTGGCCAGCGACGGTCCCCCCACGACTCCACTTCACCGCCCACATCTCCTGTGATCTTGCCTGCCCGTTGGGCCGTCCGCCAAAGTTCTGGGAATACAGGCCGGTGGTAGCCACGACCCTGGCTGCCGGCGGGTTCCCTCTAAGACCTGACTGCGCTGCAAGGGAAAAGACGCTTTTGTCCGTTGGATGGCCCCCCAGGGGAGATCTTCCTTTTGTAACGAATCCCTGAGTGCTTTCCAATGCCGCTTGAAGAAGACAAGGAGCCAGTGCTGGGGGTGTAGTGGCGAGCCTGGAGCACAGAGGAGAAGAGACAGCAGGTTCCTCCTGGCAAGAGGGACGAACAAGGGGTCGATAGACTTTGGGGAGGCCTAGACTGTTTGTGTTTGTTTGTTTTGTTTCTTTGAGACGGAGTCTTGCTCTGTTGCCCAGGCTGTATGGGCAGTGGTGGGCAATCTGGCCTCGCTGGCAAGTCCCCCTGTCCGGGCTGCAAGGCGACTCTCCTGCATCACAGCCCCTGGTAGCTGGGATTGACAAAAGGCAGCGCCCGCGCCCTTAAACGCGGGCGGCTAATTTTTTGTATTCTTTAGTGAGGGAGATGGGTGGGGGTTTCCACGCAGAGCGGAAGCTTGGGCCAGGCGGTCTCCAAACCGGCCCCGCGACCGGTCCGGTGGAGTCTTCGCTACCTCTGCCTCCTAAAGTGCTTGAGAGGCCTAATTAGATTTCACTTTGATCATTTCAGCCTGGATAGCCTTTCCAGGATCACCTCCTAAAAATTCAAGGCCTTCCAAGAAACAGAATTATTTAAATCCCAGCACTTTGGGAGTCCAAGGCAGGCAGATCACCTGAGGTTGCATTGTTTTCAACACTTCAAGTGAATTATCTGATTTAATTCTCCCAACAGTGCTATCAGGTAGATAAAATGATTATCCCCATTTTATAGATGAAGAAACTGAGACTCAGATAGGTTCGGCAATTTTCCTGTGAGTGACAGAGAAGGGGTTATGAATGAGCAAATGAATGAATGAGTAAGGTCAGGAATTTGAGACCAGCCTGGCCAACATGGTAAAACCCTGTCTCTACTAAAAATACAAAAATTAGCTGGGTGTAGTGATGCATGCCTGTAATCCCAGCTACTTGGGAGGCTGAGGCAGGAGAATCTCTTGAACCAGGGAAATGGAGCTTGCAGTGAGAGCAGAGATTGCATCACTGCACTCCAACGTGGGTGACAGAGCGATACTCTGTCTCAAAATAAAAAAAAAAAAAAGAAAAGAAACAGAATTATTTATATGTTAAAGGCCAGGTATGGTAGCTCACGCCTGTAATCCCAACACTTTAGGAGGCCAAGGCGGGAGGATTGCTTGAGCCCAGGAGTTTAAGAACAGCCTGGGCAACATAGTGAGACCCTGTCCCTACAAAAAAATGTTAAAAGCAGCCAGGCATGGTGGTGCACGCACACCTGTGGTCCCAGCTACTCAGGCAGCTGAGGTAGGAGGATCACTTGAGGCTGGGAGGTCCAAGCTGCTGTGAGCTATGATTACGCCATTGCACTCTACCCTGGGTGACAGAACAAGACCCTGTCTCAAATAAAAAAGGAAAAAAAGGTTAAGGCTTGAAGTTTCTCCCTGTTTCTTGGTGTCAACCAAACCAAGACCATGAGGGATTTAGAGTTCCCTAGCAGTGGCAATACAATCCTGGAAGCAATACAAGCAGTGTAGCATAGAGAAAGGATCTTTTACTCTTATGGACATCTGAGTCCCAGGGAAGCACCCTGAAAAGACAGAGATGCCTTGGCCCCACCTTTGGAGAGTTTGATTTTGTAGTTCTGGGGTGAAACCCAGGAATCTGCATCTTTGGTAGGTGCTTTTGGTGATTTTTTTTTTTTTT